TGTTACTTACAGTATAATCTCAAGTTGCTGTATATTTCTTAGGGAGGCATGTAGGCCTGGCCATTTCATCTCCTGTTTTTTTTTTTTTTTTTTTTGGTTGTTTGTTTTGTTTCTTTTGAGACGGGGTCTCACTATGTTATGTATCCCAGACTGGCCTTGAACACATGGAAATCTTCCTGTCTCAGTCTTCCAAGTGCTAAAATTCCAGGCATGAGCCTCCAGGCATGAGCCCCCATGTCTGGCTACATTTCCATTTTGAGGCCTAGGCTTCTTTGGATATACCTCCAAGATCAGTTGTGTGATTTTTTTACAAAATCATTTTTTAAATTTGGTACAGGATCTTGCTATGCAGCTCAGACTCATAATGATCCTCCTGTCTCAGCCTCCCTAGCGCTGGGACAGACATGACCCACACCACACTCAGTTTTGGTGGCCACCTCACTCGGTGTGCCCACAACAGGCTGGCACAGTATGCGGTACCTGGGATCGAACCCACGTCCTTGAGCTTGCCAGGCAGGTGCTTTTGCCTCTGAGCTATATCCCCAGCTCTTGATATAATCTTATGTTCTGTGCCAACTCCCTTCATCTCTGTTTGACTGCCCATTAATTTCTATCTAACTTAGCAATTTAAAATAATAATGATAATCCATGAACACATCATTGTATTAGGACCTATCAGAAAACAGAAAAATGTACAGTGGAAGGTGTAGAGCCCATGTGAACAACTTCTTGTTGGCTTGAAGTGACAAATGAAGGAAATGGGGTTAACCTCTGGGAAAGCTGGGGCAATGGAGAAGGTCATTCATGACAAATGGAGCCACTGTCACAAGGACAGTGTGGATGGAAGGGAAATACTGTTTTTTTTCTTTCCTCCTGTCTTGTCTTAGTGCAGACCCTTACCCCTCTTCGGTTTTGTTTCATGGTGCAAATTGTGTTTGTGTCACACTGGCCAAGGGTAATCTGAAGCTAAAAGGCAAAGAACCTAGATTTATGCACAGAGAAAACATACAATTCCCAAGCCAACAAATCTGTGCTTTTGGTGTGTGACTCTGGAGACTGAATACAGTAGGTAAGTGCTTTAGCACTGTGTCACTTGCCTTATCTCAAAAAAAACCAAGCAAACAAACAAAAACAAACAAACAAATAAAACCAAAACTCCTCCTGTCTACCTCTTTTTTTTTTTTTTTTTTTTTTTTTTCCTTCGGTACCAGGCATTGAACCTGTGCTGGCCAGGCAAGCACTTATTCTACTGAGCTATCTCCCTGGCCACACCATTTTTAAAAATTTTTATTTTTTGGCAGAACCAGGGATTGAACTCAGGTCCTTGCGCTTGCCAGGGAAGCACTTATTCCACTGAGCCATCTCCCCAGCCCCTCTACCTCTTTTTTTTTTTTTTGGTACTGGGAATCAAACTCAGGACTTTGTGCTTGCCAGGCAGGTGCTGTGTCACTGAGTGACATCCTTGGCTGTTATTTTTTTTATTGAGGCAAGTTCTTATTACACAGTTCAGGCTGGCCCACAATTCATTATGTATCCCAGGATAGCCTGTAACTCATGGGGATCCTCTGGCCTCAGCCTCCAAAGTGCTAGGATTACAAGTGTAGTCCACCATGCCTGACTTTACCTCCTTTGTCCTCAAATTCATTCTTTGACTTCAGGAAACATGGACCCAGAGAATGTCATTACTTTAGATTTTTAATTATTATTTTTATAATTTTTTTCCCTGTATTTTTAGGGAAGGGACTATAGGGTGTTCAGGGTCTCACTACTAGATTGCGCTTGTAGTGATCCTCCTGTTTACAGCCTCCCAAGTGCTGGGATTATAGGTGTATGCCACTATGCCCAGTCTCAATTACTGTCTCAGTGCACCCGGGGGGGCAGGGCCTGCATTGCAGGCTCCAGGGATTGAACCCCCAGCCCTTGCATCTGCTTGCAGGCGCTTAAACCCGCTGAGCTATTTGGCCAGCCACAAAAATTATTATTTTTTATGCCAGGAATCAAACAATCAAACTCAGAAACTTGTACTTGCCAGGCAGACACTAGTGCCACTGAGCTCTACTCTCCCTATGTCGTTAACTTTAAGGATTTTTTTTTGCTCCGAATGCCTTCAGGGCAGGTTTGGCTGGCTTGAGTTGTGGGGATTGAACCACAGCAACTTGATCCTGACTGCTTGTTTGAAGCAGCCACTTAAAGAACTGAGCTAAGGGGCAGGCCCCCTGTCGTTAACTTTATTTTTTTTATTTTTGTTTTTTTTTATTATTTTTTTTGACAACTCATACAGAATTTTACTTAACAAAGTAATATGAATTTCACAGTATTTGTTGTAATACATGGTATTGTCTTACAACCAGCTATTCATATTACCAGATAATGGAAGAAGAAAAAACTGGAGCAATGTATAAGAAATTAAGAAAAGAAAAAGTACAAACAATTGAAAAAAAGGAGACGAAGCTAATTAGAGCATTGACTGCTTCTATTTCCATTTTTTAAAAAATTATTTATTTATTTATTTGTCCTGTCAGAGGTGAATATTCTATTGGCATCTACATACTATAGGTGTTTGAATTCAACTAAACATCTAATACTGTCTAGCAGTCTATAATATTAGTGGGTTATCCTCAGAAGTTATTGACTTGAGCCTTTTACAGCTCATCGTATTAATATGGATTTACTTTATATACCTCATTTTTATACTTTTCTACTGGATGGTTAAGACCAAGATATAGCAAGACCTATATACCCAGAATTGTAACTTTTGTATCTGATAAGGTCAGCCAAGTACTCTCAGGATTTATCCTGTAGCCCTGTACCACATTTTGTACATTCTTTTGTCAGTGTCTGACATGAGGATGAGTCATGGCCATTGCTTGACCAATTTGCTCTCTGTGAAAGCTTGAGAAAATGTTTTTTCTCTCCATGTGATTCTCCTCAGGTTCACTTTGTCGTTAACTTTAAAAAGAGCACAAGATTACAGCAATTGATCCACAAGTTTCTATCAAGTTACTCAACAATAAGCACTATTTTAGGCATTAGGATACAAAGACAAATAGAACAAGCCTCTGACTTCAGGGAGCTCTTGACGTCACAGTTGTGTGAGAGAAGAGTTAAATAATGACATCAGTGAGTTACACAAATACGAAAGAAGTGCTCTGGTTGTGTTTAGGAGGCACTTCTTTGGTTGGCAAATTCAGGAAGATTGAAAGATCTTAGGGGGTATGGACCCGGCGGGCCGTTTGAACTCTTAACTCTCCCATCTCTTCCCCTGTTAAGTCTCAACATCACTTAAGGAGGGAGACAGGCTTCCCTTCCTGCGCAGCCACCTATAGAGGAAGGCATGTGGGCTGTTGCAGCCATGGTGTGTCCCCAGCCCCTTTGAGGTACAACTGAGCCTATGCATTTGAAGATAGGTGGTCACTGAACAAATGTTTCACAAAGTCTTGTCAGAAGATGACTGAAGAAAATGGACATGACCATAATTTCATGAAATAAGCACACAAGTAGCTTCAGACGAATGAATGTTCAGGTCCTTTGGCTGTAGTGCTGAAAGATACTTAATTGCCTCCTGTGCAACGTTCTAGAAAGAGAAATGAACAGATTAAAAAAAAGTTGAACAGATGCAAATTATGAAAGTTAGTATTTTTTAATGTAAAACTCACAAATTATGTAGAAAAGTATAGACCTAACTATACATATTTGGTACGGGGAATCAAACGCGCTTGTCAGGCAGGCGCTGCGCCGCTGAGCTACATCTCCTGCCCTAGACTTGATTATACTAATTGCTGAAAATAAATCGTTTTCTTAAAAGACAATGACATACTCCGCAAGTCCGTTGTGTACAAGTGCGCACAGCGCCGACGCGTCCTGATGACGTCACCTAGAGCCCCTCCCGTGAGCCCTCGCGGCGTCGTTTCGCGCGGTTCCCGAGGGTGGGTCTTTGGCGCATCATGACGAATTGCGTGTTTCAGTCTCTCTCCGTGAGTGCTGGTCTCCGACCCTTGTCATTGTTTTTGTCCCGAATTTTCTTTCTTCGCAGGGTTCTTTCACCCCATCTCTGGCTTTTGGATTTCCTTGGGCGTGGCCGGGAGTGAGGAGATGTGAGACGGGTTGTTCCTATTTCCGTTAGTGGTTCTGGGAATGTTTTATTACCTTATTCGCATGGCGCCCACTTGTGAATCTTAAAACACTTCTCCTTCCACTCTTAACATTAAGACCCAGTGAGAAACTAGGAAAGAGTTATTGGGGTGACTGTGGGGCTGTAGGTCCTAGAAAAGACTCCAGACGCAGCTGTAGGGGAAAAAAAAATTCGGGGTTCTTAAGTGCGTGTAGGACTTAGCAAAGCAAAGAAGCACTTACACACACACACACACACACACACACACACACACAACACACTAAAACAAACAAAAACAGTACGTGGTAGAGGCTGATGCAGATTGAAAAAAGAAGAGTAGAGCAAGTGTTTGAGAAAACTGAGGAAGTTAAACTGGATGGTGATGGAGGTGCCAGAGCTGAGTCTTGTAAGATTTGTTGAGAAGCAACTTCATTAGGAGTTGTTGGAGGGTGTTAAACAGAAAAGTTGGTGAGTGGATGGGATTTGAGTTTACTCAAGTAGCAGTGTGAAGAATTGGAAAACTGTGATTAAAATGCAATGAGAAGATAGTGGTTCTGGCCTTGGCAACAGTTTTGAGAATACAGAAGTGAAAACAATAAAAATACAATGTCACAGAATCAAAAGGTCTAGATATTGTGTAAGAAAAGGAAGGAGCTAAAGAATATAACTAGGTTCATTGTAAAACAGCTATTTGGAAGTGCTGTCTGCTAAATTAAAGAGTACTAGAAGAAGAGATGATGTGAAAAGATCATTGTCAGGCTTGTGCTACCTATACTTGAGCCAGGTGGAGACTGGTAGGCAGATGGACAGGGCCACATCTCAGGAGGGAGGACTCATTTAGTTTAGAAATGTAGGAACAATCATCTGTTGATGGCTGTTTAAAGCCAGGTTATGTCTCGGTTGATTATCTGTAATCTCAAACTATTGGGTAGGCTGAGGCAGGAGGATCACAAGTTTAAGACTAATCTGGACATTTTAGCACTGTCTCAGAACAATGTAAAGGGGGGTAGAGGTGTAGCTTAGTGATAAAGTACTTGCCCAACACGAACAAGGCCCTGAATTCGATACTTTGTGCTTGCAAAACTCAAGAAGTTAAATTGGAGAGTGAAAAAGGAAAAAAAGCTACTCAATAGATGAAGTATTTGAGGGGAGAGTGTGTTTTTTGTTTTGAGACAGGGTCTCATTATATAATCTAGACTGGCCTTGAATTTGCAACAGTCCTCCTGCCCAAACTGAGATTACATGCATGAGCCACCATGCTTGGCTAGTGTGTAGTATTCGTGTACGTGTGCATGTGCATGTATGTGTGTGCATGTGTGGTTACTGTTTCCTTCCTGCCTGCCTGCCTGCCTGCCTTCCTTCCTTCCTTCCTTCCTTCCTTCCTTCCTTCCTTCCTTCGTCTGTCTGTCTGTCTTTTTGAGCCAGGGTCTTGGTGTGTAGTTTAGGCTGGCCTTGAGCTCACTTTGTAGCCCAGGTTGGTCTTCAACTCGCAACTCCTACCTCAGCCCCCTACGATCATGCTGTTTTCAAGTGGTGAAAGATTTGCTAAAAGTGAAAGACTGACCAGAAGGTTAATAGAGGAAACTTGAAAAGCAAGGGATGAAGTACCTCCTAAGCACTGTTGAACCTCTGATATCTTAAAGTGAAGCGCCTACATTGGAAAGAAGCCAAGCTTGCTTTCTTCCCTAAAGCTCTATATAATGACAATTAGAATTTGTGTCAAACATACAAAGGTGGTTCATGCCTTCCTCAGAAAGCACACATCCTAGGCCAGCTATGGTTTTGCACTCCTGTAATCCCAGCATTAAGGCTGAGGAGAAGAATTACCCTGCGCTCAAGGCCAGCCTGGACTACATAGTGAGTTCGAGGTCAGGTTGAACCGCATAGCAAGACCCTGGCTCAAAAAAAAGACCGGCTGTCTTGATCTGCGTGTGGTGACAGAAGCCTGTAATTCCAGCTATGTGAGAGGCTGAGAGAGGAGGACTGCAGGCGGACCTGTCTCAGAGAGAGATGGGAATGTGGCTTATTCGGATTCATAGCTTGCATGTATTTCGTTTATAGAGACTCAAATGTATGTACTTGAAAAAAAGGGAAATGATTTAAACTCATGTACCTGTGTTCTTTTTATATTCTATTAGGCACATTTATTTATTTATGTATGTATTTTTTGGCGGAACCGGTGATTGAGCTCAGGCCCTTGTGCTTGCCAGGCAAGCGCTTATTCTACTGAACTCTCTCCGGCCCCTAGGCACATTTATTTAAATAAACATATTACAGAAGAGTACTATAACCTTTTTATGAGTAAGATAAAGTACAGTATTTTTGAAAGGATGATTTTGCCTGTTGTTGCTTTTCAATTTGCCGTCTTTCAAAGCAGACCCTTTGTAAAGCAGTATGCCATTAAACGTGGTAGTCAGTGTTCTTTTTTATTTGTTTCTTCTGAACAGAGGTCTCCCCTTGCAGTTCAGTTTGGCCTCAAATTTGAGAGCCTCCAGAGGGCTGGGGTTACCAGTGTATGGAGCTGCCCCGGGCTGTCGTCATTACTCCCTGTAGGGGAGTGTGCCACGTGCTGCCAGAGTGCCAGGCGGTCTGCCTGAGATGGGCAGAACAGGATCCAGAGAGGAATGTGTTATCCAGATGAGCACTTTAAGGGTTACTATAGGTTCCTTAGAAAAGGAAAGGAGACCAAAGCTGGATTGACACTTCAAGTAACTATCACAGGACTAGAACTTGTTTTTGTTGTGCTATGGATAGTACTTAAGGAAAGGTGCATGCTAGCTAAGTGCTCTGTTACAGAGCTAACACTCAGAGCTAACACCCATACCTTAAATTAAGGACTTTGGGCCAGCTAGATAGCTCAGTGGACTAAAGCGCCTGCTTAGGCAGGGCGCAGCGGGGGTTCAGCAGGGTGCAGCAGGGGTTCAGCAGGGTGCAGCAGGAGTTCGATCCCCCGTGTGCTGTGTCACCCCACCCCCAGGGCATGCTAAGACTTCGATTGAGACTGGGCATGGTAGTAGTGCACTTTGGAGGCTGAAAAATAGGAAGATCACTAGGAGTCCGATCTGATCTGTGTAGTGAGACCTTGTAAACCCTGTACTAAATAAATAATAATAAATTAAGGACTTCTGAAGCAAGATATATTATGTACAGGTACAAATTCTCTGTGAGGAATGTTATCACTGTTTGTATCTAAAAAGTACAATAAAAATAAATAAACTAAGGATTTCTGCTGGGCGTGGGGGCATAAGACCTATAATCTCAGCATTCAGGAGGCTGAGGCAAGAGGATTACCTTGAGTTTGAGGTCAGCCTGGGCTACATAGGGAGATCTTGTCTCAAAAAACCCAAGAGAACATAAACAAATCAACTAAAGACTTGAAGGGCCTCTTTAAGTTCTAAACACTTTTTGTTCTTTATCTGCATATTATGTGCTCTTTGGATTTTTTTTTTTTTTTTCTTATTCTCAAAAGTTTCTTTGGTGGGCAGGATAGTCCTGAAGATAATTCACTTTCCTTAGGAGCAAACCTGGCTTGAGGCTGCCCAGACCTTCATCCAAGAGGCCATTTGTCCAGCTGACCAGGAGCCTGATCTGCAGTTGACTCAGCGGGTAATTGACTGTGTGAGGAGAATTTGGTGTTCCCAGGAGAGGAGCCAGGGTTTTGCACTGCCTGTCAGCTACAGGTAAAGAAGGTGAGGGTTGGCAGGGAGGTTGAATTTCAGGTTGAAGAGAAAGGTTCTGTATTTAAAAACCAGGGTAGAGAGAGGAGTGAGTGGAGAACAAAGTAGTTTAAACACACTCCTTCGACTGGACTTTCCTATTTTCCCCTCCAGCTCTTCTTTTCCTAAACTGGCAGTCAAATTTAGAGGAAAGGAGATGAGGAAAAGAAATAGGGAAGAAAGAAAGAAAATTTGGAAAACGAATTCTCAGTGTGGGGGAAGAATTAAGTACATCTTCATTTTGTGTATTAGTAAAGTAAGATTCATGGCCAGGGGTATAGATAGTTCAGCAGCACAAGGCTGGCCTGGCAAGCACAGGATCCTGAATTTGGTCCCTAGTACAAAAAGAAAAGAAAAAAAAAAAAAAAAGAAAGAAAGAAAAGTTAAGTAAGATTCAGAGAGCCAGGCAACACATCTATAATCCCAGCACTTGGAGGCTGAGGCAGGATTGCTGTGAGTTTAAGGCCAGCTTGGGTTACAAAGTGAACTTAAGGCCAGTCTGAGCTGCATAGTGAAATCTTGGCTCAAAAAGCCAAAAAAGAAAAAAAGGGATTCAGAGAGATTGGCTGGGTATGGTGGTGCATTCCAGTAATCCCACTACTCCGGAGCGCTGGCATTATAGTTGTGTATTACCACACTTGGTTTTTATTTTAGTTTTGAGACAGGGTCTTGCTAAGCTTCCCAGGCTGCCTCAAACATATGATCCTTCTGAGCAGCTGAGATTACAGTTGTCTTCCGCTGCAGCCCAGCTGGATTGTTCTTAAGACCTCAGGCTGGCATAGTAGTACATGCCTATAATCACAACACTTTGGTAGGCAGAGGCAGGATTGTAAGTTCAAGCCCAGCCTAAGCATCTTATCAGGCCCTGTTTTAAAAAGAAAAGAATTAAGACCTGGGGATATAGTTCAATATGGAGGCCTCGGCTTTGAATCCCCATACCTCAAAACTTAAAAAGAAAAGGAAGACGTAAGTTAAAGGTCTTGTGAGAGTATTCTGGGGGGAGTTTTAGTAATTTACCATTTCATATACTACACTATACTAGGCAGTGTTAATAAAGTACCAAATGAAAAGAGTTTGCTTTGTGACCAAATAAGTTTGAGAGACTTTAAATACAACCTTCTCTAGGAGATTTAGAGGGCTCATTAACTTATTCAAGTCTCTAAAAAGTTTTACCAAAGGAAACCTATTTCTTCTTTATAGCAGTAGCTACTCTCTTAAGTATGAGATATTATTCCCTCAATAGCTCTATTTTACGTGGATCCATCTGCCCTTAAGCAGTCTGCAGTAGAGCTGCATTTACATTATACAATATTTTATGTATCCCTTGTAATTTGTTTTTATATTATAATCCATATTGACATATGTAGTTGTAGCTTAATTTTTAAATTGCTTAATGATATATAAGAGAGAAACAGACACTTTTTTTTGGTTTGGTCTTTTTGAGACAGGGTCTTACTCTGCAGTATAGGCTGGCCTTGAGCTCACTCTGTAGCTCAGACTGGCCTCACTGATCTTCTGCCTTAGACTTTTGAGTACTGGGATTACAGGCATGTGCTACCATGTCCAGTGAAAGTCACTTTTTGTTTATGTCCTTTTTTGGGGGGAGGGTACTGGAGATGGACCTCGCGGTTGCCATGCAGGGGCTGTGTCGCTGAGCTCTATCCCTGGCCCTGTTGATGCTTTTTAAGACAAAAGGTAGAAATCTATTTGAGTTAGCTTAATTCATCATTGCCCCAATTAACTTCAGCTAGGACCCTTTTTACCTGCAACTGTCCTTAAGCTGTTTATGGGACCTAGAAACACTTACCATAGCTCCCTGTGTCAGAAGAGGCAAAGGAATTCTGGGGAGAGGACATTGCTCGTACTCCATTATTCAAAACATCATTTTCGGGGCTGGGGAGATAGCTCAGTAGAATAAGTGCTTGTCTGGCAAGTACAAGGGCCTGAGTTCAATCCCCGGTTCTGCCAAAAACAAAACAAAACATCATTTTCGTTATCCTATATAATTTTCTTTTCTTTCTTTCTTTCTTTTTTTTTTTTTTTTTTTTTTTTTTTGGCGGAACCGGGGATTGAACTCAGGCCCTTGTGCTTGCCAGGGTAGCACTTATTCTACTGAGCCATCTCCCCGGCCCCTATCCTATATAATTTTCTGATACATGATTTTTTTTCTTTTCTTTTTTTTTTTTTTTTTTTTTGTGGTACCAGGGATTGAACTCAGGACTGATACATGATAGTAAGCCAGTTGTTCTTCAAGCACTGGTTTGCCTGAAAGCAAATCAACACACTGCTTTCTTCATTGAGAGAAGCTGTGTGATATTGTTGGGGTCCCACTGAGAAAGTTTTCAAAATGATTTACCTTAGGAGTGGGGTGTGGTGACACATGCCTCGGGAGACTGAGGCAGGAGGATCACTACAAATTCAAGGCCAGCCTGAGCTATACAGTGAGTCCAAGGCCAACCTGAACTGCATCGTGAGATCCTATCTCAAAAAAAAAAGTACCAAGGATCGCTTTGTTCTGAGGATGACTTAGTTTCAGAGTACCCCCAGTTTGAGCCCTGTGACCCCCTCCACAGCTATCATTTGGCAAGGTCTTTCTGATTATCCCTCAGTAATGTGCAGCTTCTAGATTCAGACTCCATCCTCATTACGTTAGGCCCTTGCCCCCAGCTCTTTTCTCTTTAATCATACACATCTCTTAGTTCATGTTTCCCTTCGTGAACTGTGGGACTGTGTCCAGGTGAGAGTATCCTGGGCTTGGACTGCCTTTTTAAACCTCTGTTCTCTCCACTCTCTAGCTTTGTCTCAGCCCAGAAACTCAGGAGCCGCCATCACCCGTGCTGTAGCCACCTGTCCTGGAGCAGTAATGCATGTGAGGCTTGGGCCCAAGAGGCTGGGCCCAGTGGGAACCGTCTGCCCCAGGAGCAGCTGTTACTTTTAGGGATACTAACAGACCTATCACAGGACTCAGAACAAGAGAGCCAGGATGGAAGCCTCTTTGTGAGAGATAACACTGGAATCCTGGACTGTGAGGTAATTAGGGAGGACCAAGTCAGGTGCTTCAGATTCTAAGAGGAATGGTGTCTAAGGATCAAGGCAGCTAGGATTCTAGAGGTATGGATTGGGTGCTAGGACCCGTTAACCCATCGTCTTGGTTTTTTTTCTAGCTCCTAGATTTGGACCTTTCCTGGCTGGGCCATCTCTTCTTGTTCCCCAGTTGGAGTTACCTTCCGCCTGCCAAGTGGAATTCCTCAGGGGAAGGGCACTTGGAGCTCTGGCATGCCCCTGTGCCAGTGTTTCCTTTGGCTGTCAGCCCTGACCCTCTCACGCCTATCTCTGTTCTGTACCCAGAGATTGCATCCCTGGTGCTCAGACACAGGTAACTGTTGCCTCTCTAGGGGAGTGGGAGCACTGTGAAACATGGAGAGTGATGTGGTTCAGTAGAGGGGTAAGAAAGGTTTTGATAGTAACATAGATGGACTATTCTAAATTGCAAAGGGTCAGGTCAGTTCAAAGTATAGGCCCGAGGTTCAATCCTCAGTACCAAGTAAAAAGATTATTAAGAATTTAAAAAAAATTTTTTTTATGAGCAGAATATATTTATGGAGAGAAAGAAGGTCCTGTCCCGAGGGAGAGATGGGGGGGCGGCAGTGAGCGGGTAGTTCCCCCCCCCATTAAGAATTTTTTTTAAGACAGGTTCTCCCTGTATAGTTTCAAGCTGGCATCGAATTCACTGTGTAGCCCAGACTGGCTTCATATTTGCAGGGATCCTCCTGCTTCAGCCTCATGAGTGCTAAGATTACATGCATCATCATACCATGTGTAAGAGAAGGTCTTCAAAGGAAATATATCTAAGGGCAAAAAGAGTTGGAAGGTTTTTTAAATGATATCTATGGCGTGGGGTGTGACCACTTTATAGCACTATCAGATTTATGTAAGGGAAGAAGAGTTAGAAGGTTTGTAGAATAGCTTTGTGCCATGAACATATTACCTCACTGTCAGGTTCTTTACATTGGAAGGGAAGACATTTGTAGAGACAAAGGAAAGAAGTAGAAGTTACTTTTTCTCCTCCTCTTCCTTCTTAGAAGCAAGCGCAGAGGTGTACAATCAAATCTAGCTGGGAAGCTGGTCCGGTTGAGTCCTCTGGTAAGAAGTCAGCAGAAGACTTACTTCGTCCTGTCTCTTGGCAAACTGCTCCCCACCAGCGGCCAGGCTGTCAGCCAAGTGCCTATTATTGTGCAGGTGAGCAGCAGGGTCCGTTCGAGGGCGTGTGGAAGTAGTGCTGAAGTCCTGATGGGAGAGGGAACTTCCTAAGGAACTGTACAGGGAAGGAGAGCAGCTGAGTTATTTTCTGAACAATGCTGTGTGAAGAAAATTCTAGCAGTGTGTTACTATCTACATATGGAGGAAGGGGTAGACTTCCCTGCTGTGTGGTTCATTCATTCTCAATAACATTTGTCTCCTCGGTGACATTCTGACTTATTTTTCCTCAGTGTTAGAAAGATAGGCAAACAAATTATCTTAATTTAAATAAGGCATTGAATAAATGCATTAAAAAAGCAAACTTGGGCCAGGGAGATGGTTCAGTGGAATAAGCGCTTCCCTGGCAAGTGCAAGGGCCTGAGTTCAATTCCAGGTTCCACCAAAAAAAAAAAAAAAAAAAAAGACTAAAAAAGCAAACTAGACACTCATTGTTGATTCATTTTAGATCAACTAGTACTTGTTTTTTTGAGGCAAGGTCTGGCTATGTAGCTCTTACTGGCCTTGAACTTATTGTGTGGCCTAGGTTGGCCTTGAACTTGAAGCAATCCTCTGCCTCAGCCTCCTGAGTTCTGCGATTATGGACATGCACCACCGTGACCAGCTCTAGGTAGAAATTTTAAATCATTAATATTTGTACCCTGGCAAATCATTGTTTTATGACTTACATAATCATCTACCTTATGATGCGTTGTGATATCCAAGGACTAACTGGTTTCAGGGTACAAGTAGAGGTCTGGAACGTTGAGCACAGATAACTGAAATTTGAGTTTCTTTTTTTTTTTTTGGCAGAACCAGGGATTGAACTCAGGTCCTTGTGCTTGGCAGGCAAATGCTTATTCTAGTGAGCCATCTCCCTGGCCCTTGAAATTTGAGTTTCTTGAGCTATCAGCATAGGGGTTTTGTTGTTGTATTCTGGGGCTTAATTCTGGGACCTGGTTCATACTAAGGACCCTTTCCACTACCAAGCAATACTCCAGCTCCTATCATGTGGTTTTAAAGCCCCTGAGAAAGGTAGTGGTGCATTTTATGCCTGTGGTAGAAGCATATTTAGAAGATTGTTGTTTGTGAAGCATCTTACCTATGAAACATTTTTCTTCAGGCTTAATTTCTTCAGCAGTTGTCCTACTGTCTCCCCTGTCCATGTGATATTTTCTTGGCCTTTCTGGGCTTCTTCCCTTATCTTAGTTCTCCCATTCATTTGCTGTAGCTCCCAGCAACATTCCTGCTTCTCCATCATTGTCATTGTTCTCCTTGTCCCCAAACCATGCGTGGCTTATTCTGAATTCTGAGGATTGCTCTTGTTGCCTTCTCCTTGAATCGTCCTTCCTGTCTTCCCGTCTTGGACCAACCAGATACAGGTTGAACAGCCCTAATCAGAAATTCAAAATGCTCTAAAATCTATAACTGTTTGAGTGCTCTAATCACGTCAAATGGAAAAATTCCACATCTGACCTTACATGATGGAGCAAACTTAAAATGCAGGTGCACTGACAGTACCGTGTGAAATGACTTTCATAGCCACATCGTGGTAGTCCATGCCTGTAATCCCACTGCAATCCCAGTGTAAGTGAATGCATTTGCATCCAAACACACTGATGACATAGGTGAATGTGTTTGTATCCTGTGGGGTAGGAGATGGGAAATGTTAAAAAGAGCATAATTAAAAAAAAAAAAAGAGCTGGGGAGATGGCTCAGTGGAATAAGTGCTTCCCTGGTAAGCACAAGGGCCTGAGTTCAATCCCCGGTTCTACCAAAAAAAAAAAAAAAAAGAGCATAATTTTCTCAGTGGAATAATAGTGTGTGCATATATATGTATATTTTGTTGTTATCGTTGCTGTGCATTTTAGGTTGGCTTTAAACTCACAATGTAGCCCAGGCTGGCCTCAAACTCATTGCAATCCTTCTGCCCCAACCTTCTGGGATTACAGGCATTCACCACCACATCCAACAGAATGTGTATTTTACTTTTTTTTTTTCCAGAACCGGGGATTGAACTCAGACCCTTGCGCTTGCCAGGGAAGCGCTTATTCCACTGAGCCATCTCCCCGGCCCTCAGAATGTGTATATTAAAGGAAATTTGAGGACTGATTTATATCTTTTCTTTTTTTTTTTTTTTTTTTTTTTTTTTTTTATTTTTGTCCCTAAAGTAAAAATAATAAGTAGAGGTCACTAGTTTTTTTTTTCTTTTGTCGTTTTGAGACAGGGTCTCACTATGCAGTTCAGGCTGGCCTTGAGCTCATTCTGTAGCCAAGTCTGGTCTCAAACTCAGAAAGATCCTCCTGCCTCAGCCTCCTGAGTGCTAGGATTACAGGGGTGCTCTACCACTGCCAACCTTGGAATGATTTATACCTTAAGGAAGGGATTAGGATATGTTTGAAATTGCTGGTGAGAAAGGAGAAATCTTGAAAGTCTGTGGTTTAAGAGTCCATTGGGAAACGGAGAAGATGATGAGACAGGAGGAGCTCATGAGGAGCAGGTCCTGAGGTCAGTTTGTGATGAGAAGGTGCTCTGGCAGGGGGCTGTGTTGCAGGAAGCATCTTATGCATTGTTGTTGCCTGCCTCTGTGTGGCAGATCCCTGCCCAGCTGGTGTGGCGCCGAGCCCTTCGGCCTGGTGAGGACTATGTGCTGACAGAACTCCGAGTATCCAGGATCCATGGTCACCGTCGCCGTGTTTGGATGACTACTCCCTCCTCGCATCTGAGGCTGCTGAACGCGGGGTGTGTGCAGGAGCTGCAGCCAGAGCTAGAAGGACCCTGCTTGGAGGCTGAACCCGAACCATTCCCCAGGCCCTGCAACTCTCGAGATGGGAAGGAGCCAAAAGGCGCTCTCCGGAATTCCAGACTCTTACATTATAAGGTGAGCCTGAGGAGGAGATCCTAGCGCTTGTGGGGCACAAAATGGGGACCTCCAAGGGGAAGGCAGCAGCATGATCAGTTGGGCTCTGGCCTCTCTGCAGGGAGCAGTCACTGGCGTGTTGAATGAGCCCGCTGGCCTCTATGAGTTGGACGGGCAGCTGGAGCTCTGCCTGGCATACCAGCAGTTCCGTGGCCTCAGGCGGGTGATGCGACCTGGGGTCTGCCTGGAGGTATGTGAGAAGTCAGACTGGTGATGGCAGGTCCTTGAGCAGTTTGCTTACTTCTTGGGCTGCTCTTTGTTGTGCTAGATGGGAGCTTTGGGAAGTAATAAAATAATAAGTAATAGGTTAGAATGTTTCTCTTTTTATTTTGGTGGTATTGGGTATTACAGTCAGGACTTTTGCATTATGATATATCCCCAGACCTTCTTTATTTTGAGACAGGTTTCACTAAATGATAAGTTTCGGGGCTTGCAGGTTAGCTCAGTTGTTTAAGTGCCTGCTTGGGCAAACCCAATCAGGTGCAGGGGACCACGGTTCAATCTCCTGCTACACATGCCATACTAGACCCGCCCTGAAGGCAGCCTGAGCCAGCCAAAAAAATAATTATGATAATAAAAAATGAAAACATAAGTTTCTAGCACTGGGCTTGAACTTGAAATCCTGCCTTGGCTTCCTAAGGGCAAGGATTACGGGCATGTGCCCCTACACGTGGCTTGGAGTGCTTTCCATACAAATAATTTAGACAAGAGCTGACCAAGGAGAGCAGCAGTCTTGCTGCTACACTGGAGGACACCTGGGCACAGGGACACAGCATGGGAGGGGTTGAAGACAAAGCCTGTCCTTCACAGAAGGCCCTCCTGGGTTGGGGAGGTGCTGGCTGAATCTCTGGTGTAGGCCAAGAGGATCTCAGGCAGATTGGTGAGAAGGCAGAGCCACCCCAGTCCACACAGGAGCCACCTGATTCTTGGGAAGACGGGCTGGCATATGTGGGAGATGATGCTGACCTTGGGGAGTGGGTTGTGTTGGAGTGAGGTGTGACTTCTGCACGGGAACAACAGCCAGCCCACGGAAACCTGTATGTCTCTTGGGATATCAGCAGCAGAAACAGTCTAGGGTCATTGAGGGAGGGGCTTTGTCTCTGTTTTTATACTTTTCATTGTTTTCCTGCAGCTCCTAGATGTTCACCTGCTCCAGTCAGTGGGTGGAGGGACAACAAGACCAGTGCTGGCACCCTGCCTCCACAGTGCCATTCTTCTGCGGGCCTTTTCTTGTCAGAAGCCTGGGACTCAGTCTTCCCACCACGTTCATGGGGCCTCCTTGTATGAAGACCTCATATGGCAACGTCAGTTAGGACTGCCCCTCTATCTATGGGCTAGCAGGGCCCTGGCGGAGCTGACCTGCAAGTGAGGAGAAAGAGGTCTGGGCTAGGGAGGTAGAATGAGTAGGAGGGTTTCTCTGTAGGGGAAACAGGATCTTGGAAGGGACAAGGGCTTTGGGGGAGCTAACTGTGCTGCTCTTCTTGGCCAAGGCTATGTCCCCATGTGCTGAGACACCACCAGTTCCTGCAGCACTCCCGTCCTGGCAACCCCAGCCTGGGACTGCAGCTCCTGGCTCCAGCACTGGATGACTTTTCTCCACCAAGCAGCACCATTCGGAATATACACAATGAGATCCTTGAAGAGCCACATCACTGTCCCCTCCAGGAAGTATGAGGATGCAAGGGAAGGTGGGTGGCAGAACTTAGGAACTCGAGAATGCCAGGGCACGGGACACAATCTGATTTTTCCTCTCTACTGGACAGTATGCTCGGCTGCAGACACCCTGCTCTTTCCCCACTCTGGCTGCGCTGGCAGCGGAAGGGGAACAGAAGGCTTGGGCTTCCTTTGACCCAAAGACCCTTCTGCCCCTGCCAGAGGCTGCCTACCTACCCAGCTGCCAACTCAATCAGCGCCTAGCCTGGTCCTGGCTGTGTTTGCGACCTTCTGATTTCCACCCAGCCCAGGTAAGGTGCTCCGGAAGGCTTGGGGACTTCTTGCCACCTTCATTGCCATTGCTCTAGTATAGGTTACTCTCATTTTTTAGGTCATTTTAACTACAGGAGCCATCTTCCTTTTTTCCCCTTTTTTCGAGACAGGGTCTCACTATGTAGTGCAGGCTGGCCTCAAACTGATGGTGATCCTCCTGCCTCAGCCTCCTGAGTGGGATTGCATGGGTGTACCACTTCCCAGCTATACCAGCCTTCTTTTTTAAATTTTTATTTATTTTTTTATGTATTTGGTACAGGGTCTGCAGGGACTTATTTTCAGCCTCCCAAGAGCTGGGATTACAGGCGCACACAGCCATGCCGTGCCCCAGGGGCGGGGCCAGCAGAACAGCCCGGGATCGAAACCCAGCTGCTGCATTCTGCCTAAGCAGGCGCTTTAGTCCGCTGAGCTATCTGGCTGGCCCTATACCAGCCTTCTGACTAGATTGCTCCTACCACTTCATTTTCCCTGTACCAACTAGAAAGAGTACAGTAAAAATGTAACTTGGATTATACAATTCTCTTGTTTAAACATTTTCATTGTTCAAACACTTTTCTCTTAGTACTTATGTAATAAAACCAAACTCCTCAGTATATCCTATGAATCCTGCATAGTCTCTTATCTAACTCCAACTATGCACTGTGTTTCTTGCACTAAATGTGTGCAAGTCTTTGTTTTTTCCTGTCCGTGTTTCCCTCTTGAGGCAGGCCCTCTGTACTCAGACACATCTTCTTGTTCACTTCGTATGCTCACATTTGACACTGCCTGGCACTGATGCTCATTATCAGTTTAATATTTGAAGCAAGAATATACTTCCAGGGATCGTTGCTGTAGTATGCTACTAGAGACGTTTCTCTGATCGTGTAGAGCACCAGAAACCATGAGGAGGAGGCACAGTGCTCCTTCCTGAGCGTGTAGAGCTGGCTCCTGGTGTTTTGTTGCAGCTGCCACCTGCCACTGCCAATCAATCTTGCTTTCTCCTAGCAGGGAGTGAGAGGGGAGGAGCACAGCCTGAGTGGCTTCTGTTAAAAAAAAAAGAAAAAGAAAAAGAAAAAGAAAAAAAAAAAGCTGGGTGTGGTGGTGCAGCAACGTAGACCCTGCTCAAAATAGAAAAAAAAGGGGGTGGTGGCTGGGGAGATAGCTCAGTAGAATAAGTGCTTGCCTGGCAAGCGCAAGAGCCTGAGTTCAATCCCCGGTTCTGCAAAAAAAAAAAAAAAAAAAAAAAAAGTGCTGATGTAGCTTTGTGTGAAAGCCCTGAGCTCACTCCCCAGTACCAGGAAAATAAGTAAATATTTGATCCTGGCCTCCTTTTTCTGAAAGGGTTTTGTGTTTTGTTTTGTTCTGTGACAGGGTCTTGCTTTGCAGTTCAGCCTGGCCTTGAACTCACCATGTAGTCCAGGGTGTCTGCATGTGTGGCAATCCTCCTGCTTGTGTTACCGACACATGCTACCATGCCTGGCTCTTCTTACAGGTTTTACTTGGGGTCCTGGTGGCTTCATCTCGGAAAGGTTATCTGCAACTTAGGGATCAAAGTGGCTCCCTGCCCTGCCTGCTCCTGGCCAAGGACTCGCAGCCTGTCACTGACCCGAAGCTCATAGGTATAGTGGAGTTCAAAGAGGGAAAGGTGGTGTTTGTAGGGTAGAGATTTGTAGAATTGGGTGTGGAAGGATGGCCAGGAAGAAGCACCTGCCGGGATTTGCTGGTGATGCCAGAGTGACAAGTGCTGGTAGACAACTTTGAGGAAACGTTTGGGAAACTGGTATGTCCTGTAGAGAGTGAGCCAGGGGACCCTTGACCAGAACTTCACTTCCCAGCAGCACCCCCATAACTCCTAACATACATACCAGGATTACAACTCTGTTTCTTACATTCTTGGTTTGGAAGAACAGTGGTGTTATTTGGTTTACTAGGATTTGTAGACAGGAAAACCCTAGATAGGGGAATTACTGAGAATTAGGATGAGGCATTTTAATGATTTATGAAATCAAAGCCTTTCAGCCTAGGAGGCCATGGGCGAGATTTTACGCCAGATGGAATGGTTTCTCCTGGTTTTATCACCCTCTGGAAGGTGAATGGTCAGGTGTGGAGGGAATCAGCTCCAGCCTCGGATGTATAGCAAACCCTGCAGCGTGTTCTGCCTCACTGCTCACTCCACAGTCCTCTTTTCTTGCCACAGTAGAGATCTTTCTTCCTATAGGCTGCCTGGTTCGGGCAGAGAGGTTCCACTTGGTTATAGAGAGGAACGTCAAGAGCAACTTTCCTTCCTGGAAGGAGCTGGGCGTGGAAAATTTCATCCAGAAGCGGCGAGCTAGGTCAGCTTCTCAGGGTGGTGGCTGTCCTCCTGAATTCAAGTGGGAGAATGCTGGGACCTAAAATGCACAGTGCTTGCATCACCAAGAAATCTGTTCCCATCTTTCCAACAGAGTTTATGTCCAGTTCTTTCTTGATGACTCCTTGATCCTGCCTGTGCCCAGATCTACACTCCATTCAACCACTCCCTCAGTGTCTCCTCAGACAGAGCTCACCTGCCCAGAGGAGCCTGATGTAGGACAGAGCCGTCTATTCTTGCTGTCCCACAAGGAGACCCTCATGAAGATGAATTTTTGTGCCTCCTCAAGAGCCATCCCAGAAGTGCTCAAACCCACCTTTAGTTTCCGGGTGTCAGGGATCTGGCTTGAGGGCACCCAGAGGAAGGAGGGAACTGGATGGGGCCCACCTGAGCCCCTGAAAGATGTGAACAAGGACCAGAAGGTAAAGTGCAGCTCCTTGGTCCTGGCCTCCCATGTCCAAGCTCAGAGCAGGGGCACAGCATCCTGCTGTCCTTCCACACAGGTTCTTCTCCTCTTCCATGGCTCTTCAGTCCGCTGGTTTGCATTCCTGCACCCGGGGCAAGTGTACCGACTTGTCACCCCTCTTTCTGTGAGTGTCCCACCCCTGGAAAGCTGTGTTGGGTTGGAGTCTGGGAAGGGCATGCCGGTGCTGATCCCTCCAGGTCTCCTAAAGAGGGTGGGTCAGTCTGTGTTGAGATCTCTTTCTTCACCAGGCTGCAGAGAAAGCAGTATTGAGTGTGACCCTTCCTCTGGCCCAGCACACTCAGAGGCAGTTGTCTTCCTGTTTTCTGGCAGACACCAATGTTGTTTGAAGCAGAGGGTTCATCCTGCACATCTCAGCGTCCTCTGGAGTTGGCTGCCTGTGGGTCCTGCCTCACTGTCCAGGACAAGTGGACCCTGGAACTTGAGAGCTCCCGGGATGTGCCAGAAGTGCTTGGCCTACACAGGGCACTGCCGGAGTCTTCCCTGCCCAACCTGCTCAGTGGAAAGTAAGTGTCTGCTACCACCCCCCCCACCCCCAGTTTATTTGGCCACACTCTTCTTTGTCCAGGTTAGGTTTGATGAGTAGTCCATTCTGCTGTAGTGTGTGTCACCTCCTTTGTTTTTCCTCCTTTCTTTTTTTTTTTTTTTTTTTTTTGGAACCGGGGATTGAACTCAGGCCACTGCGCTTGTCAGGCAAGTGCTTATTCCACTGAGCCAGCTCCCCGGCCCTCCTCCTTTCTATGTTGCCTAGGCTGGCCCTAAATAGTCCTGCCTTGCTTCCCCTAGGAGCTGGTACCATGGGCTCATATTATTGTACCCAAGCAAAGATGTTTCTTTTAGCTGCAGAGGAATAATGGCAGTATAAGGAAGTTGTGTTTCATATTTTTCCTGTAGCCCGTGACTGTTTGCAAATGAGCACAAGAAAAACTTTAACAATGAAAGAAAAAAGGAAAAACATAAGAAAATGTAGGGAAAAAAAGCTGAAAATGTAGCAAAGCTCTGTTTAATGCAAGGGGCTGAATGATGGCTGTAGGAACAATATTTCCACACGTAGGCTTTTTGGGCTGGGTGTGGTGGCATATGCCTATAATCCGAGTACTTGGGAATTTTTGAGACCTTGTCTAAAGAAAAAAAAGAAGGATAGGGGGCTGGTGAGATGGCTCAGTGGTCTAAAGCACCTACTTACAACAAGCTAAGCTAAGCAAAAGGACAGCGACCGCGGTTCAATCCCCAGCACCACATGTCAGCCAGCCCGACCCCTGGTGGGCTGAGCTGGCCACACACACACATACACACACACACACACAATAAATAAATAAGTTTTTTTTTTTTTAAAAAAAGAAGGGGGCTAGAGAGATGGCTCAGTGGTCTAAAGCACCTACTTAGAACAAGCTTAGCAAAACACAGGGACCGCGGTTCAATCCCCCAGCACCACATGCCAGCCAGCCCCACCCCCTGGTGGGCTGAGCTGGCCACACACACACACACACACACAAAATTAAATAAATAAAAATAAAAAAAAAAAAAAAAGGATAGTAAATGTTTCTGTTACAGTTGCAAATTGTAGCATTCAGGGGCAGAGGCTGGAAGATTGGGAGTTCCAGGTGAGCCTGAGCTACATAGTGAGGCACCCTCTACAAAACCGTGTTTCCACAGACCTGCACTGTCAGGGAGTGGGGGCTGAGGCAAGGCGTGGACTGTAAGTCTTGACAGAGACTCTAAAGGGAAATCCTCTGGAAAGGCCTCAGCTTCCACAGTGGGATAGACTTTTTTTTTTTTCCCAATTGAATATCCTGCTTCAAGCCTGGGATTCATATTCTGTTACTCTTAGTAGTTTGGCGAACCCAAAGTTTTCCAAGATGGGTTTTGGTTGTTTTGTTTTGGTTTTTGTTTTCTTGAGACAGGGTCTCACTATGCAGTTCAGGCTGGCCTTGAGCTCACTTTGTAGCCTAACCTGGCCTCAAACTCACAGCTATCCTCCTGCCTGAGCCTCCCAAGTGCTGGTATTACAGGTGTGCACCACCATACCCAGCCTCTTGCTTTTTAAGGCACGGTCTTGCTATATGTTTTATTTCTCTCTCTCTCTCTCTCTCTCTCTCTCTCTCTCTCTCTCTCTCTCTTTGGCAGAACTGGGGATTGAACTCAGACCCTTGCACTTGCCAGGGAAGTGCTTATTCTACTGAGCCATCTCCCCGGCTTGCTATATGTTTTAGGTTGTCTTTGAATTCACTGGGTGGACCAGGCTGTCCTCAAACTCTTGTGAGTCTTCCTGCCTCGGACTCCCATGTCCTGGGCTTATGAGTGTGCACCACCATACTTAGCTTCAAGACCTTGCATGTGACACTGTAGCAGATACTGTAGCTCCCCTCTTCATCTTTGGCCATATTCTAGCCGTTCTTATGTTCTTATGCCTGATTTCCCTGTGTATTTTCCTTTTCAGTTTCACTGATTCCTTGGTGTCTTTCTCAGCTGAGATTTTATCACGGACAGTATGTGAGACACTTCGGGGCCATTGCTGCACAAAGCCTGGTAATGACCGCTTCTTTGGGGGGAAATTGTGGAACAAGTGGTGAGACTTTGTGGTCCTGACAGATCCCACTGGCCGCCTCTCCTCCTGCAGGGAACGCTCGGGCCCTGAGAAGGTGTATGAAGCTAACCGTAGCTCTAGAGCCTGCTAACTATGAATTCCCCCCACACTTGGACATATATATGGAAGAACCACACTTGCCTGCCCCACTAGGGCTCCTTCCAGGAGCCCAAGTCCACTTTAGCCAACTGGAGAAAAGGGTTTCCAGGTGAAGATCCGTGTTGTGCAGCCACGCCTCCTCTCCCTGCAGCCCTGCTGCTCTTGAATGCTCACCCACTCCCAGCTGCGCTCTAGTAGTGCCACTTTGCTTGCTCTCTTCTTTCTTTCCTTCTTTCCACTACTGAGGGGTGAAGCAGGAGCCCTCACACTGAGCTACATGCCCAGCTCTTTTTTTATTTTTGAGACAGGATCTTAAATTGCTAAAGTGCCCATGCTGAACATTTCATCCTACCAGAATACTGGGATTATGCCACAGCTGCTTCTTTGCTTGCTTTTAATATGCTCATTTCCATGTATGCCTTCTGCTGAGGTGTTACAGATCAGTCCTTTGGTAAAGCTGGGCCGGGGTCTGCTTAGGAGGGTTAGCCAGCCCTGTCGAACGTGATCTCTTGAGTACAGCTGCTACCCCGGTCTGACCGCTTTCTCTTCCTCACTATTCTACTCCCAGGTCTCACAACGTTTACTGTTGCTTCCAGTCGTCCACTTATGTGCAGGTCCTGAGTTTTCCCCTGGAAACTACAGTCAGGTCAGTGCCCCGTCCCTGATCCCTGAACTTCATGGTCTCACACCCACATATTACTCTTGTCCTTGGCTCTGGGGCATTTGCCATAGCTAGAGTCTTCTCCAGTACCAGAAGAGTATGTTGATCAGGATTTCCTCTGCTCTAAATTAAAAATGTCCAATACCTATCATTTCCCCAAGAAATATTTAATGTTCTAGGCTTTTGAATGGTTTTCAGTCTAAAAAACAATTATCTCTTGGTTAACATCCTCACATTGGAGTCTGAGAAGTAATTGATGATTATTTGCTAAATTGCTCAGGCTGGTCTTCAATCTGTGGTCATCTTGCCTTAGCCTCCCAAGCCACCAGGATCATAAGAATGTGCCAGTGCCTCTAACTTTCTGCTTACTTCTTAACCACTGCCTCTCTCTGTCTCTCCTTAGCATTCCCCTGCCCCACATCTACCTGACTGAGCTTCTCTGGGGTGGACAGGCCCCATTCCGAGCCACTGCCTCTTGTCATGTGGTTTCTGTCTTCAGCCTTGAGCTCCTGTGGGTGTGTGCTCACTGTAGAAGTATCTGTCCCCAGGTAGGAGAAAGGCCAAGTGGAGCTGGGTGTGGTGTGACAGAGGGATGTGCTAGGACCCATCAAATTTCACAACCACTTTTTTCATCCCAGGGAAGGTGCTCTCGTCAGGGCTCCACCTGCCCTACTCAGACGTCAGTGAGCCAGGCCAGCATCAGGTGGGCACCCACTGCACTGTGTTCCTCCTTGTTAGTAGATAGGCTTTGTTTGTCTGTCTTAGCATGATTCCTGGCTCCTCAAAAGTGCTTAAGAAATATTTTTTGAATGAATGAAGGTTAAGTGACTGGAAGTGGGGGGGAGGGAGGCATTTAGGGCTCAGGGCATTGGCTGCCTGGGCTTGCTATGGGGATGTTTCTCCCTCCTCGTTCCCTAGGCTTCTGGTAGAGGATGGCACTGCGGAAGCCGTGGTGACCTGTAAGAATCATCATGTGGCAGAAGCTCTGGGGCTGTGTCCTAGCGAGTGGGCCTCCCTCCTGGAGTTCACCCGAGGGCCAGGCAGAGTAGCCTTGCAGTTTACATGGCCTGGAGCCCAGCTGGAGGTAAGATGTGACCGAGAGGTAGGGGCTCAATTACCCAGAGTCCGTCGTCTGACCGAAATTTGGGCGTTGGGTTCTGATTGTTTCCCTTTCTAGTCCTCAGCCGAGTCGAATGAGCCCTTGACATTCTTCCTCAGGACACTTTGTGCTAGCCCCTCTGTTCTCCGCCCTATTGTGCTTTCTTTTGAGCTTGAGAGGAAGCCCTGTAATATCACCCCATCAGGTAAGTGTAGCATGCATGGATGGTGCCTGGCAGGGAGAGGGTTGAGGGATTGATTGGGAATTTCTAAATTTAGGGAGCAGAATGAGAGTGATGGCTGAAAACTACACAATGTGGGGCATGTTTTTCCTCTCTTCCCGTTTCAGAACCTCCCCGCCTACAGCGGTTCCAGTGTGGAGAGCTCCCTCTCCTGACAAGGGTGAATCCCAGGCTGCGACTGACCTGTCTTTCTATCCAGGAGCCAGAGTACCTCAGTCCTCTGAGGGCCTTTGCCTCCTCCTGATGATCTGAGCTACAAAGATGGCCTGGAAGATTTCTTGCCTCCTTGGGAACCTTGAGGCCTAGATTCCATTTCCAACCTCTTGTGGCACCTTCTCTTTCTGTCACTGAGCCTGGACTCCTATCTTTGGTTCACAAACTGCTACCCTATTGTAATTCATTCTGGTGCCAGGCTTCCTGGGGCTGGTGTGGGAACAACACATCATGCTGGTTGATACTGCCTCTATTTGGGGTCAAGTCACCTACACTCATAAGTGACAAGCAGAGTCTGCCTTTGTGCCAGCAGCTGGCAGAACCAAAACCTTGTTCCTTGTGAGGTTGCTGTTCACAGACCGTTTGGTTCCAATAAACCTCTTTGAGGCTGGTTCCTAGTGTGCTGCTAGAGGGGTGGGCTACGCGAATCCTGGCCCTGGTCAACCCACCGTTTCAGCCATTTGTTTACCACCCTTGCCAAAGGTGTAAAGTGATTTGGATCCCGCACAGGAAGGAACCAGTCAGGCCCCCCAAAGAGTCAGTTGAGTCAGAGGTGAAAATAAGGCCTTGGCGATTACAGCCGGCAAAGCTGGGCCTGGAATTGAGTGTAAGAGACTAGAGGTGTTGCAAAAAGGAAGCAGGTGTGAAAGCGCCAAGCGCTGGGAGCCAGGCTTGGGAGGGAGCCGGGTCTCCACCGTAGGACCCCGGCGGAAAGGTGCTCACTGTGGGTTTCCCCGGGGCGGGCACTAAGGCAGATCCTCTCAGACGACAGTAGACCCGGCCAGCGTCAGATGCGCAGTATTAAAGCACCTGGATCGCAGAGTACCCAAGTAGGACCCAGGGCAGTGCAGCTTAGTGTATTTGCGTTTGTTTCCTAAGAACTCACTAGGTGGAGCCGTAGAGCCACGTCTTACCTCTCAAAGCCGCTTAGGATGCATTTCCTCTTGGTGGTTTGGGCTTGGTTTCGTTTTGTGTTTGAGAAAACAATTCGCCATCACACCAACTTTATGGGTTTGCGCACACAGTAGGAACAGACACTTTATCTAGAGAAAGAAGAGCCCTTGTTCTTGTAGCTGGCCGGTTAGCTCAGTTGGTTAGAGCGTGGTGCTAATAACGCCAAGGTCGCGGGTTCGATCCCCGTACGGGCCAGAGGACTGTTTTATGGCCCCATGCACTTATAAGTTTTAGGTTTTTTTTGTCTTCCCCTCCCCTCCAGAGCATTTTGTTTACAATGTTACACGTTCCTCTTAAAGCCTGACTTGCTGGCGCTCTCCAAGGCTTTGAAAGAGATGGGTGGGTTAGGGAGGAGGAAATGGTTTCTTCGCCACCGTCTTGTTTTTCGTTTTCCCGGAGGCCATTGCCGAAAGAATAGAGAAGATTAGGAAAGAGTTCTACAAAGGGAGTACAAGCTAAAAAATTGCTTCCGACTTGACTAGCTCAGGTTGGCCTGTGAGTGTGGGGAAAGTCAACTCAGAATGATACTGGATAAAAGCGGACCACAGACGTGTGTAGTCGTGGCCGAGTGGTTAAGGCGATGGACTAGAAATCCATTGGGGTCTCCCCGCGCAGGTTCGAATCCTGCCGACTACGAAATATTTTTCTGCATGTGTGTCCTACGTTATTCTTCAAGCTAAGAGGCAAGACCCATCGTCATATTCCAATCCCCTGGTTTCAGACCTCTAGAATCCCGAGTTCACCAACTACGTCAATCTAGAAGTGCAAGTTTTTCCTTTAAAGATCAGAAATCTCACGGAAATAGGATTGGCTGGGAGATGCACAACCTACTTATTTCAAGTCCTATTTTCCTGTAGGGCTGCCTAGAAAAAAGCTTTTACAGCGGCGGCGCCGTGGCTTAGTTGGTTAAAGCGCCTGTCTAGTAAACAGGAGATCCTGGGTTCGAATCCCAGCGGTGCCTTTATTCCTTCCAAATTAAGATCTGGGGTATGTTTTGCAGCAAAACTCAACCCCCTCAGAATCTATTGTTTTTGAATGAGGGCGCACAAGGACGTTAGTTCCTCTTAGAAATGCTGCCAGTCACGGGAGATCAGAGCAGAAATCGTGCTCAGGCCTGCATTTTGCCCTTTGCCTCGCAGGTGTCAAGCCCACTGGTGCTGCGGTGTAACCCGAGAGCCATCTGCCTACCCTCAGATACCCTGATCCCTGAGCTTGCTTCTTCCATCCTTTCTTCTACCAGAGCCACTCTGATGGGGGGATGGGTGTCTTCGTTATGCCTTTTGGCTTAGGACCCCCAATTTTATAATACGTAAAATTTTTTACATATTACATAAAACATGTGCATTTTTAAAATTTGGTGAGGCTTCTAGATGCAGTCTAGAACCGGACCTGTCACGTGTGGTTATTTCCACCGCTCTCCAGGAGTCGGCAGGAGGGTCATAGGGTAAAGGTTTCTCAGCCGGCCTGACACTATCAGGTTTCTTGCAAGAGGGCGCTGCGGAGCTGAGACCTAGTGGACAAGAAGTGAAGGGAACGCTGCCCCTGGGGTGTCCGCGGAGCCTGGCGTGAATCGGCTGCGCTCGCTCCCGCAGCGCTGAAGCCAGGCTGATGAAGGAGGAAGCGACGGTGGGAGAGAGGCGGAACGAGACCCTTGGGCTGTTGGCAGGACCGAAGTCTCGCTGAAGATAGCAGACAGTGTTCCTTACCCGCGACCCACTGGGTGACGCCTGAGCAAAGGCTTGAAGGAGTTGATCTCCTCCGGTCAAGCAAGGGCTGGAGCCTGTTGCAGGAGCACGAGAATAAGGCAGACTCCTCCGCGGGCTCCTGGGGAGACACAGCCGCAGCACACAGGCGGCGCCGAGGGCCAGAGAGGGTGTTGCGAGGCAGTGCGGAAGAGAGGGGACGCCTCCTCCAGTGGGAGGCAGGAGGGTGGCCAGGGGAGGCTTTCTGGAGCAGGCAAGCAAACCTGAAAAACCAGGCAGACATTTGCTGTGTTCTATTAAACACCTGCTGTACTTGGGCCCAGGGAATACAGCAGTGAACGAAGGGATGAAAAGGCCTGCCCTGCTGGAGTTCATAAGGGGAGGAGGATGGTGAGACAATAAACACAACCAAAATGTTTACATTCTATAACTGTACTAGATCAAGTACTTACTTATGCTAGATAAATGCTATAATTAGCATGAGGGATGGGAAGGATGGATTAATTACAGAAATGTCAACAGCCTGCACCATGGTATTATGGGACAAGATGAATTTAACATTTACTGGGGAGGGTTTGAGACAGGATCTAGCAGTCCTGTTCAAGTCGAACTTGAATTCCCTATGTAGCCACAAGCTTGCCTCAAACTCACAGCAATCCTGCTTCAGCCTCCCAAGTGCTGGGATCACAGGTATTTGCAGTCATATTTTTTTAAGGCCTTAATAACTGTATGTGGAATCTGAAGAGAAGATAATCTTAAAGAAAGCATTTGGTACACAGCAAAAGAAACCACTAGCATAGTAAGGAGACAGTCTCCAGAAAGGGAAAAAAATTGCCAACTGTTCCTCAAAAAACTAGCATCTAGAATATATAAAGACCTAAACAAACAAACAAAACAAAAAAACCCAGACTCCCTACATTTAAAGACCTGATTTAAAATTGGGCATCTGAAATGAATAGACATTTCTCAAATGAAAAAGTACAAACAGCAAACAAATATATTTGTAAAGTGCTCAACATCACTGGTCACTTGAGAAACGCAAATTCAAGCAACACTGACATTCCATCTCTCTCCAGGAAGAATGGCTATCACCAAGAAATCAACCAACAACGAATGGTGGCTAGGCTGTGGGGGAAATGAACTTGTGTCACTGGTGGCAGTGTAAACTACATAACCACTGTGGAAATCAATATGGAAATTTCTCAAAAAACTAGGACAAGAGGTCCCATTCGACCCAATTGTTCTTCTAGGTATCTTCCCAAAAGACTTAAAATCATCATACCCCAGCAATATATGCATACCCATGTTTATAGCAGTGCAATTTATGACAGCTAAATCTTGAAAACAACCCATATGCCTTTCAACAGATCAATGAA